CGCGGGCGCGGGGTCGAGGGCGGCGAACGCGCGGGCGCGGGCGCGGTGCGGACGTGGACGACGCGGGGGAGGGTTTACACGACGCGCGCGCGGTCGAGGCGATCGGCGCATCTTTTCCGCGCGCGCGGGACGAGGGAAAACGCGACGGCGCGCGGTGGTGCGGTGGTGGGGGCGGTGAGATGGCGTCGAGCGATGGGACGATGATGGGACTTCCGGGACGGGCGGTGCGCGCGGATGGGGGGGACGGGCGGGAGGACGGAGACGCCGTCGTCGGGTTGCCGTCGAAACGCGCGCGAGACCAGGAGACGATCGATGAGATTCCCCCGGACGTGCTCGCGGAGGCGCTGGGGGCGAGACGGTCGGGGCGGAAGACGAAGGCGCGGGTGATCATGATTGACGGTGAGCCGGTGTTGAGGTCGAATAATTACACGTTGACCGAAGGCGAGCCGAGCGTGTTCGACTCCGAGTTAGGAACCGACGGCGCGGTTGCGGGAGAGGATGGGCGGACGAAGTACGTGTTCGAGCAACAGAAGGAGAAGCGAACGTACGTGCGGAAGAAGCCGAGAGCGCCCAAGGTTGAGACGGATGACGAGATCAAGGCTGGAAAGAACAATAGAGCAATCGCGAAAGCCATCGATGAAGCACACGCGCGACGATCAAAGTACTTGAAGGCGCAAATCAAGCACTTGGAGCCGTTCATCACGCCGGCGGTGAAGAGCTCAATCTTTGATCGAGCCGAGGCGTACGATGCGTCGCAAAAGGGTCCGCAGAAAGTACTCATGCCGGTGGATAACCAACCCGCGATGATCAAAGCAGTGTTGAGAGAGTATCAACTCGAAGGTTTGCGCTACAACGTCGGAATGTACGATCAAGGCTGCTCTTGCATCCTCGCGGATGAGATGGGCTTGGGTAAGACGTTACAATCGATCTCGTTCATTTGTGCGCTGAAGGAGATGCGTCACGCCAACGGACCGCATTTGGTTGTCTGTCCCTTGTCGGTGCTGTCGTCTTGGATGGACGAGCTGCAGAAGTGGGCGCCGACGCTTCGAGTCGTTCGTTTGCATTCCGGGGATGAAAACGAACGTGCTCGCTTGCGTAAAGAGGTCGTTCCAAACACTGAGTCGTACGACGTCGCGGTCACGACGTACGAGATGGCGTGCAACCCGGCTTTCAATGTTACATTGACACAAAAGGTGATGTGGCGCACGATGATTCTGGACGAGGGACATCGAGTGAAGAATGAAGAGACGGCAGCTCATCAGGTACTGAAGCGCGTAAAGCGTCAACACACGCTTCTTCTTACCGGTACGCCCATTCAGAACAACTTGCACGAATTGTACGCCATTCTTTCCTTCCTTCATCCGGACATCTTCACTTCGAGTGAGCCGTTCGACAGGGCGTTCAACTTGAACACCTCCGAGCACAAGGTTGATTCTGATCTGCTAGAAAAGGCGCACTTCTTGATGCGTCCGTTCATTTTGCGACGCGTCAAGGGAGAAGTCGAGGTATCTCTTCCGCCGAAGACGGAGACGAAAATTATGTGCCCTCTCTCTGAGGCGCAGACCTTCTGGTATCGTCGTCTGCTGCTTCGCGAGGCGACCGCTTTACAGTCACTCGAAAAAGCGACAAAAGGCGAGGGTGGCGCGGACAACTTCCAAAAGCTCAACTCACTGCTTATGCAGCTCCGAAAGTGCTGCAATCACCCGTTCTTGTTCTCCGGTACCGACGTCCCTGAGGATGGCGTTCCGGTTGAAGAGCTCATCGAGGCGTCTGGAAAGCTCGCGGTGCTCGATCGCATGATGCAAAAGCTCATGGAAGGTGGCCATAGAGTGGTGCTCTTCTCTCAGTTCACATCTATGCTCGATATCCTGCAAGATTTCTTGACGTTGAGGGGTTACAGATACGCTCGCTTGGATGGATCGACAAATCGAGTGCAGCGATCCATCGACATTGCCGCCTTCAACCGTCCAGACTCGCCGTTGTTTGCCTTCTTACTTTCCACGCGTGCCGGTGGTTTGGGCGTCAACCTTCAAACCGCTGACACGTGCATCTTGTTCGACAGCGATTGGAACCCTCAGGTGGATCTTCAAGCGATGGCACGGGTGCATCGTATTGGACAGAAAAAGGAAGTGCACATCTACCGACTCGTCACCGCTGGTACCGTTGAGGAGCGCATGACGCAGCGCGCGGAGAAGAAGCTGTTCTTAGAGCAGATGGTTTCTCGTGGCTCCACCAAAGCTGCAACTGAATCCGACAGTCTCGACAGAAATGATCTGTATGCAATGTTGCGCTTTGGCGTCGATGCGGTCTTCAGTAAATCAAGCGGCGATCCGCCGACAGATGAAGAGTTGGACATTCTCATGGATCGCTCTTCGAAGGGCGCGGATCGGCGCGCGAAGCTCACCAACCTCCAGGCTGACGTGACGACTGCCGAAGACTACATCGAAGGTAAGGCTGAGGCTGCGCCAATCTCAACGTTTATGCTTCCAACCGCGATCGCAAGTGCCCTGGGTGTGAGCGAAGATGCGGTGAGCGAGGCTAAGTCGAAACAGTACAAGTCCGTCAAGGATATCGCCGATGAGTTCAACTCCAATATTCTGCTCGGTAAGCGTTCTCGAACGAAGACAACGATGGAAATCGATGGCCACACTGTGTTGAAGGTGAACAATTACAGCATGGAGGATGGTGAGCCGTCCGTACACGAGCGCGAGGCGCGAAACATGGAGGGAAAATCGAAACCGGAATCAAAGAAACCGCGCTCTCAAATCGCTGGCAGAGACTACGGCCACAGCTCGGTGTGCCAATCGTGCTGGGACGGCGGCGAGATCGTGTGTTGTGATTTGTGCCCGGTCTCCGTCCACCCGGATTGCATCGGCATCACAATGAAGGATATCACGCGCTACCATAGATGGTCATGTCCGCACCACTCGTGCCACGAGTGTGGGCGCAAGGCTGCAGCGGTGGGTGGTATCTTGTTCCGTTGCGAGGCGTGCCCGCGGGCGTTCTGCGAGGATCACTTGCCAGGGACCGCGGAGATCATCGGTCAGTGCAAGCGTTTCCAAGATTTGGGCCAGAACCACCCTGCGCAAGCGTGCTTCATCCACTGCGACGCCGAGTGTGCGAAATGGGCCGCGTCTCACATCGCTGAAGAGTACGGTAAAACTGCTGAAGGTTGGACCATCGGTAAGAAGGTTGCGATAACCGATCACTGGATCGAGGATCGCGACGCGGAACTCGAGCTTCCGGTGGAGAATGGAACGCGAACGAAACCGCTGGCACATGCGACCTTCACTGATCTCGTCCAGTTCTTACTTCGAAACGAGGGTCCGAAGAAGGGAGGAAAGAAGAAGAAAGTGAAAAAAGCGGGCGTCGAAGACGTCATCGATCCGCAGCCGGGAGATTTGTTGGAGATGCGTGGCGTGTTGTGCTATTACACCAGGCAAGGCGAGAACGTCGCTCACGTCTCAGAAATGCACAACGTGGATTGGCGAGACATCATCACGTGGAACACAGACTGGGTGCCCGGGTCTTTCTATGGAAAAGGAACGTACCTCTTGGAGGGGACTCGTCTTTGGCTCGCTCCGCCGCCGCGTAAGACGCTTGACGAGCTCTCAGAGGAGGAACGCATCAAGCGCGTGCAAGAGGAGCGTGAAGCCGCCATGGTCGCCGCTGCGATGGGTTTACCCGGTGCTTCTCAGATGTTGAACGAAGGCGAAGTGACCGTCCTTGGTCGAGGTCTAAAGGGTCTGCGTCAGAAAGATCTCTTGCCTTCGGAGCGTGATGAAATCGTGACTGAGATGTTCAAGCGAGTGCGCCCACTCTTGGAGAAAAAGATCATCGCAGAGCAAAGAGAACGGGAAGAAGAAGTCAAGCGCGCCGCCAAGGATGCGGAGAAAGATAAATTCAAATCGGCTGAACGCAACGCTCGTACCGCGCGACGCGGTGACGGTTTGCCCTCGGATTCTTTCCTCGCCGCTGATCTCACCACGGGCGATCGCATACCATCAAGGCGCGGCGCGCCACCGCCGATTCCAGCTGTTCATGGTGGTCAAATCACGAAAGACACTCTCACAGCGATCAAGGATGCCATTCTTCGAAGCCTACACATGGCAAACGCGACGAAGAACGGTGACTATTGCCCTGCGATGATGCTCATGGTACGTCTCTCGCGCGGTCACGCTGGGACTCCGTTGCTGAATAACATGCGGATGCGTTGGACCTCCACCGCGGGTGAAGACATGGGATTCATCTTAGGCCTGATCGCCCTTGAACGTGATGGCTCGCTTGAGATGGAACTTCATCACAAGTACCCGGAGAACATTGAACTCGCGGCGCTTCGATTGTCAGCCAAGGCCAAGGTACCGGCCAAACCAAAGGGCGAACTCTCGCAAGAGGCCCCGAAGCAGTCCCGCGCGACGGCTTCGCAATTTGTGCTGAGCGACGTCGAGGTGAGAGTGCAGTGTGGAGATCTCGATGGTATCCTCCGTCCAGGTGCCAAGCGTGGGGACGAAAGCGTTGAGTACGTTGATTCCAAGGGGAACACGAGCTTGGTGCCGGCGGTAGAGTTTGAGCGTTTGGGAGGTCGGGGCTCGACGCGCAAGTGGCGCCAGTCCATCCGTCTCGCCGTTGAGGGTGTTTCAGCGGCTCAGATCACGGACGATAGCACTCGAGGTGTTCCGATTGGCAAATACCTGCGCGACGAAGGCGCGGCGTATCGCGAGAGTGTTATCGGACGCGTCTTGGAAGTTTGGTCCACCGAGGTCGAGCAGTACTCTCCTGGCATGGTGATCGATTACAAAGCCGACTCCGGTGAGCACGAAATCCTTTATCACGATGGAAACCGCGAGTGGATTTACTTTTGCATGACGCAAACGCGATGGCCAGACGGTTTGCCCGCTCGTCTCGAACTGACGGAAAAGCAAGGAAAGAAACCGAGCGAAAAACCAGAGAAGGAGCCGAAGCGCGGGCGTCAAGCGACGAGCGTTTCGGCCGAAGCCATCATCGACGGCTATCGTGTCTACGTTCTTGGCGAAAAGTCGACCATTGAACAAGTGTCCGCTGAAACGGGCGTCGCGGAGGATGATCTCGTCGAGTTCAACGCTCCGTACTTTTCAAAGCTCAGTGCCACGACCAAGTTACCTGAGGAAACGAAGGTGTACCTGCAACACGGCCCGGATCCCGAGGAGCTCGAGGCTAGTAAGCTCGTCGAGTCGGCGTTAGAAGAGTCAAAGAACGCAGAGATTGAGTCGAGGGCGAAAGAGGCGGCCAAGATGGCGGCCAAGGAAGCCAAGGAACTCGAGAAGGCCAAGGCGAAAGAAAGGGCGGCCAAGGAGAAGGCGAAAGCCAAGGAAAAGGCTGCCAAGGCCAAGGCCAAGGCCAAGGCCAAGGCCAAGGCCAAGGAGAAGGCGAAGAAAGCCGCCGCGTCGAAGAAGGGCAAGTCGGCCAAGAAAGGCTCCGCGTCGAAGAAGGGTAAGAAGCAAGAAGATGCGGACGATGAAGACTTCCAGGATGATGATTACGAGTCCGAAGAAGAGGAGGAAGATGACGACGAGTACAATTCCGACGAAGACTTCGACGAGGAAGACGACGATGAAGAGTTCACCATGAAGAAATCGTCTAAACGCTCCAAGTACACCGAAGAAGAATTGCTCGCCATGGCGGTGGCCGAGTTCCAACTTGAACTCGAAGCGCAGTGCGTTGTTCGCGGGAGCGCCATTCCGATAGAGTGCGGTGGACTCACCGCCGTGCTTACCGGTGGTAACCTGACGGTTCTTTACTCGGACTCGAAGAAGAAATCGGCGCTCACTGATATGGATCTCGGGGCGTTCATGAAGCTCGCCAAGCAAAACGGCCACTGGCAAGAGGAGGTGAAATACAACGGCGCGGGCGAGATGAAGGGCGAACCGATCATTCACTACCTCGCCATGCGCGGCCTCGCCATCGGACGATCCGTCATCGGCAGCAACGTGGATATCCTCCCGAAACCGGAGGACATGCAGTTCATGCCTGCGAAGATCATCAGCTTCGACGAAGCCACAGGTTCGCACGAAGTGAGATACTTTGGTAAGGGCGAAGATGAGTTGGAACAGATTTATCTTCCTCTTGCGACGATCCGCTGGTTACCGAAGTTGTGGGAGCCGTATTCCGCCCCGGAAGCCGTCAAGGTGCCAGACGCAGAGGGCGGAATCGTCTTCGCACTGAGACCGATCCCTGTCGGGTGCGGCGGTATGCGCGGTATCTTGCTTCCGGGTGGTAAGCGCGGCGAAGAGATGGTGCGATACTGTCTCATGCGTCGTGAGAGAGAACGATGCGTCGTTGACGAGCTCACTATCCCGGCGACCGAGTTTGAACGCTTGAGTGGTAAGGGCACGGCAAAGAAATGGCGCCAATCGGTCCGCATTCTAGAACCCGACTACAAACTCGGTGACACCGTTAGCAAACTACTCAAGGCGGTCGGCGAAGTCTTGGGAGCGAACGTGGTCGGGCGCGAGGTCGAGGTTTTCTGGCCAGGCGATGAGTGCTTCTATTACGGCACCGTCGATGGTTTCAGGCCGGAATCCGGCGAGCATGAGGTTGTTTACGATGATGGAAACAAGGAAATCTTACAGATTGCCATGCAAACCGTGCGATGGGGGCCGACGGCGACGGTGCGAAAGGGATCGTCCACGTCGCGCGTGACGTCGAAACCAAAGGAAAAGCCGAAGACATCCTGGATTCAGTGCGATGCCTGCCAAAAGTGGCGCATTGTCCCACAAAGTTACATGGACACGCTTGGCGACGACGATGCGTGGAAGTGCCAGATGAATCCGGACTCGGCGAAGAGCGCTCGCGGTTGCGACGCTCCAGAGGACAACGAAGATTAGATATGGGACTTGGATGTGTTTCTCTCGATTGGTTCTTGTATTAAACGAAACGAAAATGATTTGTCTTTATTTCGGTGAAAACGTCGCGATATTATCCCGTCGCCATTCTCGCGCGTCGTCTCTCGCCCTTCCCGACGGCGGAGAAACCCTTGTTGATGGCGCCGACGGAGCGAGACGCACCGCAGGCTTGGCATCGACAGTACGACAAACGCGACGACTGCTCCTTCACCAACTCCGTATTCGACGACTTGCACATGTTGCAAATGACGTAATCGATGAAATAGTGCCTTAACACGCCCTCGAAAACCTTTGGCAAGAATCGTCCCTTGAGCACCAGGCGCTGCTGTCCGTCGAGCGTCCCGGTGGTACCCAACTCGGCCAACAGGTATTGCACGACGTGTTCATGCGGTCGATGCATCGCGTTGCAAATCTCCATCAAGTTCGCGAACACCGTCTTCTTCGTGCCTTCTCTCAGCACCTGCGGTGGTTTCACGATCGTCTTCGCCTTTTCGCTCAGCGCTGGGTTCTTCTCTCGCAGGATCCCGAAGACGCGTCCCAAGAGTTCATCATAGTGATAGTCCCGCGTCGTCCCGTCCCACGACGTCCCGCTCCCGGTGTGCGTTCCGTCCCGTCCCTCCGCGATCTCTTCCACATTGTCATCGCCCTCATCGAGCTCCAGCGTCTTCTTCTTCTTTCCACTCTTCTTTTTCTTCTTCCCGAACTCGGCATCCAGGTCCTCCTCGTCCGCGTCGCCGCTCGCCTCCTTCTCCTTGGACTTTTTCTTCTTCTTCTTCCCGAACACCTCGCCCAGGTCGTCGCCATCGTCGACGGTTACGTCAGAGATACCTTTCGTGACGCCATCGACGCCATCGTCGTCCGAACCGAGGTCCAGGGTGACTTTTTTCTTTGATTTCTTCTTGCCGAGCAGACTCGGGTCGAAGTCTGTTTCTTCTTCGTCCGCCATGATCACGGTGCGTATAGCGTTTTAACGGACGTCGTTCGATGCGAACGCGATGTTATCGTGCGCGCGAGTCGATCGGCGCTTCGTTCGCGACGCGCGCGGACGTGTGTGGACGTGGAGTGAGGATGATCTGCTGAATAACCCCGTCGCGCGTGAGGGTTTTGAAATTGACGCGCGGCGCGCGGAGCGAGAGCGTAGCGATCGCGACGTCGTTCGAAGCGGCGGGGCCGCTATCAGGGAAACAATGGCGATGATGCGCGTGAAAAGAATCATCTAAGGTTTCAGTCCGACGTCGGTGCGCGTTTGTGATCGCGGAGATGGGCTCGAGGCGGTTTGGAATCATATCGAGCGTGCATCGAAGCAACTCACGCCGCGGCTTCGGCTTCAGCTTGTTCGCCCGAATCCGTCATGGCTTCAGCGTCACCGGCGATATGTTCTTCCTCGACGTCTTGTTCGTGTTCGTCATCCTCTTGTTTGGTTTTCTTCTTCTTCGCCTTGGTTTTCTTCTTCGCCAACGGCGTCGATTTCTTCTCCGGTGTCTTGCGCTTCTCGGCCGTTGTACCTTTCGCCTTTTGCGTTCTGTCCTTCGCCTTTCGCCCCAGTTTCGTCTCTGCAACCGATTTCTTCTTTGACACTTTCGTCTTGGCTTCGTCATACACGCTCTCGAGCCACTTGATTTGATCATCGTGCAACGCACCACCGGAGAGAATGGTTTTGAGGCACTCGGTCGCGAGTTCTTTGTGTTCGTCTCGAAGCTGATCGAGCCCTGGGAACGCATCGACGGCGTCCTCGAGTGAGTAATCACCGTCGTTTTCGTCCTTAAACACCTTCACGTAGTTCGCCGCCGGCCCCTTGCGAACGCACTGCAAGTGACAGGAGAAGGCGCGTTCGTCGGCGATGGAATCCCATCGCAACTGCCCGAGCGTCACGCGTCCTGGCGAGTGCGCATTCGAGCAATGTGTGTTACGACACGCGGCACCCGAAAGCGATTTACCGTAACAGATCGCGTACGCGTACGTCATCGTGAACGAACGTGCTCTCGCGTGGGAGAGTGATGCGTGCGTTCGGCGTTCGACGTCGGCAGCGGCGTTGTCATCGCACGCTCGAAGGGTTCCAACAAAATTTCACCCTCTCACTCGCAAACGCTGTTTCGAGTTTCTCGGCTGCTTCGTGAACGAAATCGTCATCCAAGTCGGAAATCGCGGTGAAATTTTCCTCCGTGCGCTCGGCGGCGCTAGATTTGACCACGACGGAGGCGCCCATCGAGAGCGTCCATCGCACAAGCGCCGGCGCGGGTCTTAATCCGATCGTCGCCGCGTACGCCTTGACGCGGTCATCATCGAGCAAAGCACCGACGCCCAGTGGGCTGTACCCGACGACGTGCACACCGACGGACTCACAGAATGCGCGGAGCTCCGTTTGCGGGAATCGCGCGTGGAGCTCGATTTGGTTCACCGCCGGTTTGACGTCGCAAAACTGCAAGAGCTCTCGTAAGTGGCTCAACTCGTAGTTCGATACGCCGATCGCTCGACACTGTCCCATCTTTAACGCGTTCTCGAGCGCGCGCCATGTCCATCGTCGAGCGTCGCGATGGCGTTCGCTATCTGGCGACTCCTTATCCCTGCCTGGCCAGTGCACAAGCACCAAATCCGGCGTCCGTCCCAATCGCTCGTTCACGCCCGCAATCGCCGCCGCCGCCTCCTCCTCCGAACGCATCTCGCTCGGTGCGATCTTACTTGTGACGAAAATGCGTTCGGAGACTTCCCGATGACACGCTCTCAACGCTTCGCCGACGTCGCGCTCGTTGCCGTACACGCTCGCCGTGTCGACGTGTTGGAACCCGCACCTTAGGGCATCGCGCACGGCGTCTCGACACGTTTCGCCGCGTAACCTATACGTTCCGAAGGCGAGCATGGGCATGGTTATCCCGGGTGCAATCGCGCGCGTCCACTTGGTCGTCGACATGACGCGCGTTTGCGGCGCGTAGAAAGTGAATTGACTGAAGCCTCTCCAAGTAGCGATCGACGTTCGATCTACGCGGCTCTGTATCGCTCGACGACGGCCGTGAACGCGGCGTAGGATACCCCGAGCGCAATGCAGTAAGAAATCGCGCCCGTGAGCGTTCGCGGGGGGAACGACATAGTGTGAGGGACGCGCGCACGGCGGGCCAGCAGATATTGTTTACACGCGTCTTCTTCGAAATGTTCGATTCAATACTTCCGCGCGTCCGTTCATACTTTTATTCTTCTTTCTTCGTCTCTTTTGGTTTCGGGGCTCCGCGCAAGGCCTTGCGGATCATGATTCCGAACCAGTGCACGTTGAGCCCGGCGCCGGCGCCGACGAGAACGTTCAGCGTCACGGCGACGCTGGAAGGGACAGGATCGATCATCCCCTTCACCCGCATCATCAACATGTGCGTGTACCCGATGGAATATGCGACGATACGTACTATGAAGAACGTCAGGACGAGAACGAGACCGGCGTAGAACTCCAACTGCTTCCCAGCGTTGCTCGGCGAGCTCACGTGTTCGCCTCTGAACCCGACTGCCTTCGCCACGCTCACCACCTTGTCGCTCTTCACCGAATACGCCGCTGATTGAATCACCCACCGCAGCGTCAATAACGGCGTGCTCGCCTCGCCGAGGAGTAGCCACGCGAACGGTAACATCATCGTCTGGGACGCGCCCGAAAGGATGCTCGCCGTGATGAAAACCGCGTGATGCGCCAACATGTCCACCCTTTGATGACGCTTAAAGTCCAACAACACGTGCACGGTGTCCTGTGCAAGGTACCCCAAAAACAACCAATTTGTCCGCTCGATCAAATCTCGCGTAGACGCGCTCAACCCGACGCCGAGCCCGCGTTGGTAATACGCGTCGCGCCAGTCGCCCGCGCACTCGCGCGTCACCGCGCGCAGCGCCTTTGCGGCGAGAATCGTCACCATCGTCGCGTGCACCGCCCCGGTGAAGTGCTTTGGGGCGTCGATGCGAACCGCTCGAGTCTCCTTTGACTCTCCGGCGGTTTTAGGGAGCACACGATGGGTAACGAATGCGCAGACGAAGCGAACGAGCTCCCAAATCGCCGCGTTGAGCAAAAGTTTGAGAAAAAAAACACCCGGCTGCGTCAACGGTTGCATCGCGTGCGGGCCGTTGTACGCCACGCGGGCGGCCGATGACCCGACGCGTCTGAGAAATCCCATCGGCGGTCGAAGTAGGACGCGGGCGCGCGTGTGCGGGATGGAGTGAAATTGACTTTTTTCAAATTTCTGTTGAGCGCATTTACAAGTCGACTATTCCTCCTTCGCGTCTGTCTCCTCCTTCTTGGGCTTCGGCGGCCCACGCATGGCCTTACGAATCATGATGGAGAACCAGTAATAATTTAAAGCGGCGCCGCACGTGACGAGCACGAGAAGCGTGAGCTTGACGGGTCTCGGTACGGCGTCGAGCGTGCCGACTTTCGCCTCGCTCAGGGCGTTCACGAGTCCGCCGGTGTAGCACACTATGCGCACGACGAAGAAAACCGCCATGAAGACCACGGATGTGTTGAACTCTAAACGCTTCCCGGCGTTCGTGACCGAACTCACGGTGTCGCCACGGTATCCCAACGCCTCGGCCCATCGAACGACACGCGCGCTCTTCAACTCGTACGTCATCTGTTGAATGAACCATCGCAAGCACAGAATCGGGGTCGAATACTCGCCGATCAATAACCAAGAGAACGGCAGCATCATCGTCTGCGATCCGCCCGCTAAGAGCGAGGCGGCGATGAAGCACGCGTGATGGACAACCATGTCCACCTTGCCCAGACGCGGGTAGGCCGCCAACACGTGCGCCAAGTCACCCGTCATGTACCCGCAGAACAACCAGTTTGCGATCTCCGTCGTGATCAACGCCTTCCCTCTGAACGCGCTCTTCGCGTGCAAGTAGTATCGATCCGCCGCGTTTGGTAATCCCAGCGTCGCGTTTCCGACCCACAGCCCAGTCGTCGCCATCGCGAGCGCGTGGACGGTCGACATCACGTACGACGGCGCCGTTCGCACGAAGTCGCGCTCGGCGGGCGTGTTCGTCTTCCCGTACCATCGCTTGATCGCTCGCGAGACCGCGAATCGAGGGATCTCCCACAGTAACGTAGCTCCGGCCAGTTTGAGACAAAAGTCTGTTGGATCTTCTAGTTTCATAGAAAACGGCGTGTGCTGACGCGCGTACGCGGGCATCTTGGGCGCCATTACGTTGCGAGGTTTATGTTCAATGCGTGGCGTCGAGAGCGGGCGCCGCGCGCGCCGCCGGACGCGCGCGGTGGTGTGTGGGGCGTCACGCGCGGCTCGCCGTGGCGCGAAGGCGGCGGCAGTGTGAACGCGCGCGGGATCGATGGCGTCCAGTGGATCCATTGGAGAAAGTATGTGCGCTAGAAGTGATTGTGTGAATTTTACAGTGCTACCTTGCGTCGCTCGGGATTGATGGAAAATCTGGGCGGTGGCGGCGGCGCCGCGGACGCGTCGACGGCGAATGAATCGGAGTTCAACAGTTCGCCGGCGAGGATGGATTCCACGAGCCATTCGTGGCGAACGCAAGGTACGTCGAGCCGCTTCGACGCGCGAATCCACGCCGAGTGCGGTTTCTCTCCGCTCTGGATGATGAGGTAATCAAAGCGCTCGGCGGTCTGCGGGTTGGGTTCGAGCGTCGCGCCGGCGTGCCGCAGGAGCGAGGTGAAATCCTTGACGAATGCGTCATTACCTGTGATTGCCGTCTTGACATCTCGGAAGAGCTTACCGGCGGACGAGCGATGCTTAGCTCGCATTCGCCCGTTGTCATCGAGGGGTTCGTCCAGATCAATGAGCTCTCGCGCTTCCACGCACGCCTCCACCCAAGAGGGCGTGGCAAATCGCGTCCCCGCCGCGACGCCGTAGAGACATTTCATCGTTCGTCCCATCTTCGGTGTGATGACGATGACCGAGTTCACCGAAACGTCAGAGGAAGGCGCCGTGAGCACGAACCCTCCGTGTTCGCGAATGAGTTCCTTCGTCGTCGAACCTTGCGGCTTATCCAAACCGGACAGCAGAAAATGAAGCGAGGCAAATAATTTCTCCGATCGCTTCACCGTCGCCTTTTTGGTGTCGCGCGCACGCTTCGAGCGCACGGACGCCGGTGTTTTTGACGTCGGTGTTTTTGACGACGGCGTCTTCGTGGCTGACTTCGTCGTCACGCGCGTGACCGCGCGAGATGCCGACGCTGAGGCGACGCTCGTTCCCGTCGATGGTCGCCCGCGGCGTTTCGGCCAGATTCCCTTCTTGGCGTTTTCCAAAATCAAGCGACATCTCCCGCACCCTCCGCGAGAGTATCTACACTTGGGACATCCCAAAGTCGGAAGCGGTCGCACTACTTCGTCTTTAGAAGGTGTGACGGCGATGGCGGCATTCGTCGGTGAAATAGCCGCCAATCGTAAACCGCTCGAGGCCACACCGCGCGAAACCACGGACGCTGGTATGCTGGTTATTCTAGATCTGAGCACGCCTCCCTCGTTTTCTTGTTGCGTGCACTCGACGAACTCTCCACCCTGACTCGGTTCGCCCTGCGTCGGTTGCGTCATGGATTGCGATAAATCGTCGTCGATGATTCGCATACGCTTTGGCGGCGTCGCCTCCTCAAATCTCGGAGGCGGCGGCGCCCTGCGGCGCGGCTGGCGCCACTGGTGCTGCGAAAGCATTATTCGACTTCTGGGTGACTCCACCTCGGGCTGCGTCAGCGTTAAAGGCTTCTTGAAAGGCGACTGCGATTGCTGCGTCTGAGGCTGATTCTCAACGTCGTCTTCCTCGTCGAGATGACGTTGAGAATAAAACATTCCAATGTCTGGCGAACTCGGCGGCGAGATCTCACCGCGATCGCCGTCGCCGTCATCTTCCGCGGCGCCGCGGGAAATAAAGTCTTCCTCGACCGCGTCGGTCGCCGCCGGCGTGGCCTCTACGATGTCCTCATTTTGCGGTTGACTATACTCCTCGTGCTGGGGCATCGACGCGTCGACGCCGACCGGGGCGTTTCTTCGCGCCTTTGCCCGTTGCATGGCGTCGATCGCCGTGCGCGCGACGCCAAAGTTCTCGACCGGATCGGATCCGATCGATCCAATTGGGCGCGCGGATTCGGTGACCCCCGACGAGTCGACGGCGCGACCCGCGAGCACTCCTGGACGTTTAAGCGCCGGTGGCTCGCGTAAAGGCTCCGCCGCGGCGTCCGCGGGCGTACACTCGACGACGCGCTTCGAGACGTCATCTCTCGGTGTCTCTTCCTCAATCCCCGCCGTGGGTTCCGTGTCCACATCATTCGCGTCGCCATCACCCGTCTCGCGCGCTCGTCTCGCCCTCGCCTCCGGCGGCGCGCGCGCCGCCGCGGACCACAGCGACGTCGCGCGCGCGCGCTCTCCCGGAGTCGTCACCTTTGACGGCGCGATGCGAAGCACCGCGCGCCCACCCCATCCACTCGCCTCATCCACCTCTTCAACGCCCGCGTCGTCGTCCTCGACGACCCGCGTCCGTCCCTCCCGCGCGTCCTCCGTCTGCG